ACACCCTGTATAGTGTTTATTATTGTACAAAAGGATAAAAGTGGGACACCCTGTATAGTGTTTATTATTGTACAAAAGGATAAAAGTGGGAAAATATCCTCCATTATACAGTTTACAATGTGCTCTAAAGTTAACACTTTTTTTAACGTTTACAGTTCACAGTGCATTCTGAGTTTGAACTAGATTTTTATATTCAATTAAAAGAATGGTTTGTTAAAAATATGATGAACTATCAAAACCCCCCACCCCCCATTACACCACCCTCCCATCCGTTCTCTCAAGAATGGATTATGTAGCAGATCAAATAATTTTGCACCTTCATCTAACTTTGCTTATAATCCTAATTTTACTCAAATTTCTGCTTTTTACATATTGCTTAATCTTTTTTTTTGCACTAATCTTTCTGTAGCTTAATCCTATTTTTCCTCTAATCCTTCTCTCCACTTTTCTTCTAATCCTTTTATTTTCGTATTCCTATTTATCCTTTATTTTCTTTGTTCTAGCTCTCTACTAATCCTTATACACGCTGTTCTTATTTTTTTCTCTCATTATCATCATATAACTTATCTATAACTTAATACACTGGCTCCTTTTTTGGTTTAATCAATTATTCATTTTCAATTTTTTTTAAAGTTTCCAGGTAATTTCAAGAATTCAACAATCAATCAATCAATCAATCAATCACGAAAACAATTTGTTAATCAATGAAGTTATCAATTTACTAAATTAACTTACCATCTCTGCCATCTGTTGTTGGTAATAATTTGAGGACCCACCTCCCCCCATGCCAGGAAATCCATGGCTCCCAGGAAACCCTTGAGTTCCAGGAAATCCTATACTCCCAGGAAACCCTTGGCTCCCAAGAAATCCTTGACTCCCAGAAAACCCTTGACTCCCAGGAAACCCTTGACTTCCAGGAAACCCTTGACTTCCAGGAAAACCTTGACTCCCAGGAAACCCTTGACTCCCAGGAAAACATTGACTTCCAGGAAACCCTTGGAAACCCATTGTGTCTCCCCCTGAACCTCCAAAGTCTCCCATTCCCGGTATTCCTGAGAAGGAGTTAAGATCCATCCCTCCAGAACCACCAAACCCTGGAAACCCTCTCATTCCTCCCATCCCTGGTATAGAGAATTGTCCTCCTAACATCCCATCCATCCCATCTCCGTCTAGGTTTAGGTTGGACTCTGACAGAAGACTGAGCCCAGAGTCACGTGACGATGAGCCTAAAAAATTTGTATTCAATTTGTCTTAATTTTAATCAAAGTTCCGAGGTTCAAACTTTTGTGTTAGATAGCGCTAATATAAAACGCCTTATCTCGATTTCCACTCTGATAACCTTTAAAGTTCTTGCAAGAAAATCCAATTTTCCAATCCCTAGATCTTTGATAACTTGATGGTAACAACCTTTGATATTTTAAACTATAACTATTTATTAATTTATGGAAATTATAGTTTGACGTATCAATGGTTTTCTGGGTGTAAAAGCTTTAGGAATTAGAAATTCAGAATTTGTAGCAAGAAATCAGTTTCTTTAAGGGATAATTGATTCATCCCTCAATTTATAATTATCCCTGCTGGGTACCGAACAACGGATATCTAAGTAGAATCTATTTAATCGCTAGGACGACAAAAGATACAGATACAGAGGTCGAATTTAAAGAATTTAAATCGCGTCGCTGAACCGCCAAAATCCAGTTCCAATTGAGCGCCGGCTCAAATCTAGTAACACTGAATACAATATCAAGTGGAACCAACCATGTTTGAGTCGAGTAAAAAATTTGAGACGCGGCTCAAATTCTTTAAAATCGGCCTCACGGGAACAACAAGGGGTTTAACCTCTGATAAAAATGAGAACATTATTAATTAGTCTGATTTCCGGTGATTTCCGTTCTTTATCGCTATTCACTAATCAATCTTGAGAAGGGAAAATCAAAAAGTTATGATATCTTATAGAAGTTAGGGAAAATCGGAATTCTTATTGTAATATTTATTATTTGTAAATATACACTTGTGCAAGAAAGGTATAGTTGATTAGACAGCTTTATAACACTTTGCATGAGACAAACTTTCAATACTTTGTGAGCTAGATGGGGGCAAAATCCTTATTCAGGGCCAAATATTCATGGTTTACATTCGTTATCTAATTTTAATAATTTCTTATTTCCTGGACAAAAAATGTATGCGGGATTACTTGTAGCACTTTGTGACCTCATAGCTTCCCTAGTTTGAAATTACGTACAAGCATAAGAAAAGATGTATTTTGTTACATATTATACAAATAAAACATTTTTCTTCTTCTCAAAAGTTCTACAATGAAGAGGACGCTAGAAGCATGTTTATGTCCATTACTGATACTGAGAGTCAGGTTTGGGCACAAATATTATAATCAACGTTTTAGTGACTCTTCCTGTGCCGAGTGCAAATATCAATTAAAGAAATTATTTCCAACATAATATTAAGCACGACGAGAACTTTGAATATCTACTTCTTTTCTAAATTTAAAACTGTGAGTGATCGTTCATTTTATTAAAAACCCCGGATACCATTTTCAAAACAATTCAAGGTTTTTCATTTTCGCACGAATTCGAATATACTTTCTAACAATCCATAATTTTGAAATAATTAACAATTCAAACCTTAACTTATCTTCATAATTTACAAAAAAAGCATGAATCCCTGCAGATATTTTTATCTTCCAAATTATTATAAATTTATTTACACATTATACTTTTAAATACAGAGAATTAAGATGATTTCCAGTTCTTCCATCTTTAAAAAAATCTTTCGCATTTTTCTGTTAAGTTTAATTGTAAGAACCATATAATATTAACATTAGAGTTTTTCATTGTTAGAAGTAGTTATATTTTGAAATATCAGAACAATGTTTTTTTTTTAAATTTTAATATTCATTATTTAAATTTTACCGTATGCGAAAAACTTTTTTTGTCACCAAATTTTGTAAACTACTCAAATCTAAGTATGCAAAAGGTTTTTCTTCTCAACTTAAATTGAAAACTATAAACAGTAAAAAAAAAATAACTTTGCACGTTTGGCTGGGACAGTGTCAGGACTGGACCAAATCACAGTTAGCATCCCCTGTAATTTTCGCGTTAGATTGAAAACATTTAAGATTTCAATCTATAAACGCAAAAAATGACATGCATTACTCTGATTATCCAAATTAAACCCATATTTTTTTAATCATACCCACTCAAACTTTTTTCTGAATTTTTAACTTTAACATTTCCCCCAAATATTTTTGAAAAGTCAGATCGAAAGACCCGTAGCTTATAACAAACAAGAAGCATAGATTGTCATTTTTTTAAAATACATCATCTTTTAAATCAAATTGGAGGTGAACATGATGTCTTACGTATAAATCCAATTATGCTACATTCATTAGACTTAGCATATTTGTAAATTTGAAAAAAGATTTTTACATATTTTTTTAGATTTTTATATATTTTTTTAGATTTTTATATATTTTTTTAAGTTGAGTATTTTCAAAATGACTTGTCTTTAGAAAGCATGGTTGTTGTAATATTTAATATCATAAACCACATTTCTACAATTTTACAATTTCTTTGTTATGATAAAAACAATAGGCAATGGTTCTAACAGCATGACAAAGTCTTCTTGAAAATACATTGTAGTGCGCATGCAACAATTTAAAAATATTTAGCATCTTTATTTTTGTATTCAAATCCAATATATAGTTATCTAATTAGAAATGAGCGTTTTGGGGGATCCATGGAGGGGGCACTCCACGCTAGATACATGTTAAACCCAGTCATAGAACAAGCCAGGCCGGAAAATATCCTTGTGTAGTACGAGGATAGGGAAAGACCGGTACGAATTTACCAGAGCAGTCATATTTTCCGACTTTCTCAGATGGGAGTGGGAAGAGATAAATAATCGTTCCCAGCAAGAACGAGAGCGTCTTGGACGAGGTTGAGAACGTCCTGAAGCATCCCCAAGACCCTCAATTTTCCAAAAAATATCAAACATCAAATATCTTATGTATGAGCTATAACCATTACAATATTTTCATGCATGTTCTATGTTAACCCCCATACTTGAATGAGTCTTGTGTCAAGTCAAAAAAAGACTTGTTCCCCCAATCCCCATTTTAGCCTGTTCCTCACCATATTTTATCCACATCTGTTAGAGGTCTTGCCAAGACAACCCTCAGTTTTATGACGATATCATATTTTATCCACATGTGTTATGTCCCATCCCCATTTTAGCCTGTTCCTCACCATATTTTATCCACATCTGTTAGAGGTCTTGCCAAGACACAACGCCAAGACAACCCTCAGTTTTATGACGATATCATATTTTATCCACATGTGTTATGTCCCATCCCCATTTTAGCCTGTTCCTCACCATATTTTATCCACTTCTGTTAGTGGTCTTGCCAAAACTCGACGCCAAGAAAACCCTCAGTTTTATGATGATATCATATTTTATCCACATGTGTTATGTCCCATCCACATTTTATTCTGTTCCTCACCATATTTTATCCACATCTGTTAGAGGTCTTGCCAAGACACAACGCCAAGACAACCCGCAGTTTTATGATGATATCATATTTTATCCACATGTGTTAGTTCTCTTACCAAGACATGACACCAAGACTATGTAAGTTTTACAACTTTCCCAGGATTCCCCTTCTGAAGACAAACATCTTATCCCCCCCCCCTTCTATGTGCTGTCACATATGTTAAGACAGTAAAGTCTTTCAGGTGGACTTGATTTTTCAAGCTGTGAAATGCTGTCTGTGGAATATATCTTTTCAAAACTAAAAGAACACCTCTTAACATTTTCACAATTTACAATTTTTGAAAATTATTTAGAAACAATTTTTTTAAAGATTAAATTATCATAATAATAATAATAATCATAGTAATAATAACAATAATAATAATAATAATGGAGAACAGCTTTAAAACAGCTGGTGGAGGAACACACGGACAAAAATACGGACATTCACAAGGAACCCCTGCAGAGACAAATGCCATTAGTAACCTGATACCCCAATTCATGAGCATCATCCAGAACCTCGTCTTTCCGGTCTAAATATGACTACCTCGCAATGAATAATTGTCATGTCCTATCCTCCTGTCCGGTAAGTCAATTTTAGACTACCTTGGCCGTCTCCTGTTCTTGCTGGGTTGTATGCATTTATGATTCATGTATAGGCGTAAAAGCATTCTATTTATTTTCCAGTAAAAAAATGTGGTTTCATGCCACGATTTCACAATTAAACATGCTTAGTTTTTTGCACCCAGCTTAACCAAGAGGAAGTCATTAATTAGTTTACACTCTGCACGAAATTGAAATTGTAATTAGCAATTTCCTGTGACTGTACTTGGATTATATTTTAGATCAAATAATGATAGTTTGAAATATCAGAGGTCTCCGATCGACATAAGCTTGCAGATTTATAAGGATTAGAAAATCAGAGTTTGTGGCAAAAAATTAGTTCATTTGCTTCGCAAATCGCCATTTTTTCTTTGTAATGGTAAACTTTATATTTTCACAGATGTTTCTGTTTAAAATAGTGGATTTTCACAATTAACGTAGAAATTATCTTCGACCAGCCATAAACCAGCCTTGTTGCAAGAGAAAAAAATGGGTCTGATCGGTTTAGCCGTTTTGACGTTTATTGAATACAAATAGATAAAAAACAGACGGACAGACAAGCGGAGCAAATAGAAAAGAAGTATATTGTTTAATTTTGCTCGATGTACCATTTTTGTAGAATATTAAAATTCGAAATAAAATTTTGTAAAAATGTAGCCAAAACTACTCAAATCTAAGTATGCAAAAGGTTTTTCTTCTCAACTTAAATTGAAAACTATAAACAGTAAAAAAAAAATAACTTTGCACGTTTGGCTGGGACAGTGTCAGGACTGGACCAAATCACAGTTAGCATCCCCTGTAATTTTCGCGNCTTGCCACAAAATCTGATTTTTTTCATCCCTTTGTCTTTGTGCCCTGAGGCCGAATTTAAAGAATTTGAGCCGCGGTTTAAATTTTAGCCGCGGCTCAAATTTTGGTGGTTCCACTTAAATTTGTATTGATTTTTTCAAGATTTAAGCCGACACTCAATTGAAACCGGTTTTGGGGGGGGATTTGAGACGCGGCTTAAATTCATTAAATTCGGACACTGGTGTCGGAGAACCTTATATTTCAAACTCTGAAAATGGGATTTTGTGAAAAAACTCAGTTCCCATATTAGTTTTATGAAAAGAACAATTTTCACTTATCTGCATAATTTTAAATTTTGAAAAAGAGTCCGGAATTTGTTCTTATATATTTGTATATATCTTGTTAGAAACCAAATGCATTTATTGCAAATTTTGAACACAAAAATTTGTCATCTGAAATCGATGATTTATAGAAATTACTTTTGGATTTGACACAAAAGAAATTCAAGTTTCTGTTGGGAATTTTTACAAGTGGGAAGCTGTTATTTCGGGAAAACGCTTTTTTAATACAAAGGGACAAAACACAATTTAACAATTAGAAAAATAATGTTTGGAAATCCTGTCTTCTAGAGTATTCAGTTTATCTGTAGCACCCTGTAATTGCACGTAAGTAGGCACTAAGTTCCGGACCAAGAACTAATAAACTTTGTGCAATCTTTAATTCGGAGTCTAACAAACCGGAAATAGGTTGAAGGTTGGAACCGGATGCAGAAAGTTATAATATTTAAATGTATTTAAATAAGGAGGGAACTTAAAAGAGTTTAATAAAGAGTATCAACAGAACTTTTTCTATTGAAACGTTTTAAAACTTTTAAGTTACGTTTTACGTGTCCTTAATGCTGTGCTTGGGATTCATTTCATTTTGATTCGTTTTATCTGGATCCGGATCTGGATCCGGATCCTAGATCTGTTCTGTATAAAAATTAATCCGGTTCTAATAGTTCCAGCTCATGAATATTTTTGCTCATTTCTTTTACCAAAAAAATGTCCAGGATATTCACCTGTTTTGAAAATTTTATTATTTATTCTTTCAATAATTTCGAGGTTTTTTGTTTTTGATATTTCATACTTCAAATTTGTGTTTTGATAGCAATAAGTTGTTTTTTCGATGTGTTGTTAATTGAATGAGGTTTCAATGGATCCTGATCCAGGGAGCTAAATTGTTGATCAATGGATCCGGATCTGGCACTAAAATGTTTAATGTTTTTGGTTTCTATAGCTTAAAATATTTTTGGTTTTTAATAATCCCTTTGTAACTTGAGATTAGAAGAAAAAATTAGAAAAGTAAAAATGTTGATATTTCAAGTGGGTTATATATTCTGAATTAACTGATTTCCAAAGATGTTTAAAGTTTTGAATAAATCATCCTACCTTGTCCTCCCATACCAGGAAAAGAAGGGAACCCCGGAAACCCTCCGGAGAACATTCCTCCATCTCCATTCTGCAAAATATCATCCAAAGATCTCTCCATCCCTAATCCCCCGGAAAAATTGTACATGTCCATTCCTCCGGACATGTTTTCTAACCCGGAGAAATCTCCTTGTCCCGGGAACCTTGGCATGCCCGGGAACGGTTGTCTGTAGCCAGGACCTGGAAATCGTCCCATGCCGAAGGCCATCCCTCCCAGATCGCCATCTAAACCCACCTCTTATCATTTTATAAATATATTTTTTTAATTAAATAAATTTGTTTTTAATAAAAGCAAGAAAAGGCATAACAAGCATATAGGCGCTGGTTTAAGATGGAAACTTTGGGATTTAGATTTTTATTTTTATCCAATCTCGTGGCTAGTTAAAATTCATTGAAAATGCAATTAATAAAGACATAGAAAACAAAATACAAAATTAGTGTGAACCATATTGCTGCATTAGAACTAGGCCATTAATTCTATGCTACAGGGTGTCCCAAAAAACATGGGAATTCAGTGACGAATTCGATATCGTCTTTTTAGATAATTCTTTCATTTAGTAAAGTGATACCTACTGAGAATGCTGTAATTTGTAAGAGTTTCGTCTGCNAAGAAAATTACAGTATACAAACAGAGTAAACTTGTCTGTCTTCACTGTTCATCTTGCAGAGACATTATAGACACACCTTTACAGTCTTTTACCCTTTTCATAAAATAAACTCTATCTGACATAATAATATTATGGCTTTTGAAATTAGGTACTACAATGCTAATTCATAACAAAGACGATATCCAATTCGTCACTGAATTCCCATGTTTTTTGGGACACCCTGTAATAGAAAAATGTTCATTTGGCGTTTTGTCTTCTGTTGTAAAGTTCAAATGTAGATAATATTAGTTATATTTCTAACTCATCAACACTTTTTAGTAATACAGGGGAAGAAAGTTCAAACCCGTGCTTATGTTCCAAAATAAGCACAAATATTATGATCAACGTTTTATTATGTCTTCTTGTGCCAAGTGCAAGCATCAATGAAAAAAACTATTTAGCCCGACAATAACTACAAATAACACTATTTACTTCTTTTCTAGAATTAAAACTGTGAGCGTTTGTTCATTTTTTTCATTTTTGAAACAATTAAAGGTTTTTCATTTTCTCACATATCACGAATTTGAATCTTGGACACGTGTTTTGGAACATACCCAACTTTCATAATTTGAGAATATTCAACAATTCAGAACAAAATTTTACTGTTCACAAAATAGGATTTGAAATCACTGAAAACATTTTTCTCTCCTAAATTATTCTGAAAGGAATTGAGTTTTTGCCACAAATTAAAATTTTTTAAGGTCTACGACATTGGATTGTAAAGATTTTAACTTAATCACAGGTTCCCTCGACCAATAGGTCGGGAACCCTTGGTAAAGTAAAAATACCTTAACTTCCATGTTAAGTAGTTTAAATAATTATTAAATTATAATTTTTCAATGTTATCAGTCGTTGTATTTTGAAATGTCAGAAAAAATCTATTTTAACATTTTGATTGTTTCCTTATTTAAATTTTACCGTATGCGATAAACTTGTTTTGTTACCAAATTGTGTAAATGTTTGAAAAGTATCATTGATTCAAATCTGTGAAATGTCTCGAAATCAACATGTCCCAAAACATGTTTTATGCCCAAACTTTGCATTGCTTCAAAATTGTGATATTTTATAAAATAAAATTAGCAATCATCAAAAATTGAAATTATTCTGAATTAAAGTATGCACTATGCAGACAGTTTTTCTTCTCGATTTGAATTGAACAATATAAGCAGTAAAAAAAAACTTTGCACATTTGGCCCAAACCTGACACTCAGTGTCAGGTCTGAACCAAATCAGGGTTTAAGAATTTTTTCCCTTGTAATAGGCTTGATACAAAGATTAACCAAAAGAATGTCTTACCACATAACATTTAAGCATGATGAAAAAATATTAGAACAAGTAAATTAGTTCGGTGGCTTAAATAAAAAATTTTAAAATAGCTTAAACTAATTAGATTAGAAGAATAATAATCCTATAGGTTCCATCTTAAATATTTTAATAAAATGCGTGAAGTTGGTTCCTTCAGAATCATTCATTGAAGGGTCATCATGTCCTTCATTAGCACATGGCTGGTTAAATGTTCGGGGGCAAATTTCCCCATTTTCGTGAACAATCGCCACAATTTTCCTATGGCTCATTTTCTTTGATTGTGGTTGCTGTGGGGCAACAATGCTTGGGGAAACTTCTGTTATATCCTTAAGTAAGTCTGAGGCCTCTGATGGGTCAGGCTCTGTCTCTGTTTCATCCTCGAGGATCTTTGAAAGGCCGAAGTCTGATGTGTTCTCCATACTGGTGAGTAAACTGACCTCATGCATTTCAACTTAATCCTTGATAACCAAACCTAAACCAAACCAAACCATGTTTCTGCAAATTTAGATCCTCTTCAAGCGTGTTATAGTTCAAAGCAAAATAAATGTGATTAATATTTTTTATGGTTTATATCTTACATGAAAAAGTGCAATATATTCAAGCGTGCAGTAAAAACAAGATGAAGCATAAATGATATATTTACAAATAGAACTAAATCAAATGGATAAGAAATTTCCTTCTATGATTTCAGGATCATCATGGTCATGTTCATCATCATGTGCGCATGGCTGGTTGTATGTTCTTGGACAAATGTCACCATTGTCATGCACTATTGTATAGGTAACAGTTTTAATTTTTCTATGGCTCACTCTTCCAGGAAAGTTTTCACTTGCTTGTTTTGATATTGATCTATTTTCATTTTCTAGTTCTGCTTCTTCTTCCCTTTTTAGCAATATTGGGTCACTGAGAGGTTCCATCTTGTTTAGGAATTCAATGTTGTCAAGTTGAGCAATATCAATCATAGTTCTCCATCTGAATAAATCCAAACCAAATATTTTAATTTCAGTTTATTAAACTAAAAACTACTACTAAATGAAAAGTAAGCTAAAAATGGGAGTTTTATCCATTATATGATCGTTGATTAATGATAAGAAATTTCCTTCAGTTGTATCATCTTCTTGGTCAGAGTCATCATCATGAGGACAAGGTTGGTTGTATGTTCGAGAACAGATCTCACCATTCTCATGAACAATTATTTTTCTGTGATTTACTTTTCTTCTTTGACGCTTACTCTTTGATTGTTTAGTTGCTTTTCCTTTATCTTGCAAAGCTTCCATTGTGTCTGGATCATCCTCAAGTTCATCCTCTGAGATTTTACTGAGGACAGACTCTAATGGCATAGTAGTCACTGGTGCAACTTCATGCATCTCAAATGTTTAAATTTCACTTTAACCGTGCTTTATCACCTACCAGTTTGAATGTGACAAATTGATCAAGTGTGCATTTGAAATCATTTCTTAACACATAGTTAGCCTGAAATTCAAAGTTTTGACTCACTCCAAGGTTTCATAAATAATACAACTTTATTATAAAGGAATTGAGTTTTTGTCACAAACTCTGATTTTCTTATCCCTATATCTTTATATTTGAATGTCGAAGACCTTAGATATTTCAAACTATGAATCATTTTAGATCAAATAATGATAGTTTGAAATATCAAATGTTTGCACCATCCGGTTGAAAAGATATGGCGATTGTAAAATCATAATTTGTGGCAAAAACTCAGTTCCTTTACTTGTTATTCTCATTCCGTTTATATTATTTTCTCAAAGGTTAAATTCCAGAGAAAAATCAAACCGAATTTTCATTTATCATCCTAATTCAGATTGTAGAAAAGGTATTTCATGGGAAATTAGTTCCAAAAATAACACTTGTATATATCTTTAAATCCAAGCCGACTTGAACAAAACTATGCCATAAAGGAATTGAGTCTTTGTAACAAAATCAAATATTTAAGCCTCAATATCTTTAGAACCCGATGTTGTAAACCTTTGATATTTCAAACTCTGATTATTTGATTTAACAGAATTCATAGTTTGAAATATCTAAGGTCTACAACATTTGGTTCCAAAGATATAGTGATTAGAAAATCAAAGTTTGTGACAAAGACTCAATTCCTTTATCAAAAATGGTTAAAACTAAATATTGAAACAGGAAATGTCAACTTCAAACAAATAATAAGGTGTGAGAATTATATCAATATTTCATGATATTGGTTTTCATTTAAGAAACATATCTTAATTTTGAAAAAAATTACCGCATTTGAGCTCATGTCACGTTTTCGGAACATATCCTGGTTTTGAGACATTTACTCAAATCATATAAATGTCAATTTTCAAACAAAATAGAAAACAAAAAATAAGGTTCTTTTATAATTTAAAAATCATTATATCATTGATTGTTCTTACAATATAGAATTAAATAGAAATCTGGGAAATTGTTTATTTAGAATGCAGGAAATTAAAACAACTTTATTCTCTTAAGTTATTTAACAAATAAAATGGGGAGATTAAGCAGTGAAAGTGAGCTTTGTTCTGAAAAGCGGATTATATTAAAAAACGGGAAACGCGATAATGATTTAAATTCAGGATATCTTCAAAAAACCTGACATTGTTTTGAAAACGGTCAAGGAATTTAATATAAAAAGAACTCCTTCTATAACTTTAATTCCAAAAAATAGTTTTAAATTTGTAATTGTTGTCCTCGTCATGCTTAACAAAATGTTGGTTAAAGTTTTTACTATTGACTTTTACTCTCAATATGGGCTTAGATCCTAAAAACCAAGTCTTTCAATTTGTGCCCATTTCTAACACACAGTGTTAGAAATGGGCCAAGTGTTAGTTTAGGAACTTAGGTCCCCTGTATTTAGAACTATTTAAAATTAATGCTGTATAATAATGTTTTCTGTTGGATAAAGATACAACTTTTACTCTCAATATGGGCTAAGACTCTAATAACCCAGTCTTTCAATTTGTGCTGTATAATGTTTTCTGCTGGATAAAGATATCAAGGTGTTGTACCTTATTTGTTGGAAAAATACTAAAATGTTTAGTTTACCATTTAACTAGAATCAGACAATTTCTGTATGGATATATTCAAATACTTAAACATTTAACAACAAACCGTAATGTTTAACAATGAGCAATTACATTTTCATAGGTTTCTGTGAAGTATTCAAAATTTCCTTGTTTAGTATGTATTGTTTTTTTTCTTCTGCTTTCCCTGGAAATTACCCTACTTGTAAACTAAGATATCCTCACTACAGTAATTCCCTGTTTTTCCATGACCCAGGACCCCCCCCTCTATATTTCCCCCAGTTGCAGTGGTTTCTCAGCATTTTGGTTTGACGTAATCTAACACTATTGGGAGACTTAGTTTCAATACCTCAACCTCAACCCAGAACCTAGAGCTATTATTCTTAACCTTTACTAGATTCAATGTTACAATAACTGTCTAATTTTTTTCTGTAAATCACAAAATTTCAAAGTGCACATTTAAAAAATCAAGGTACACTCCTTCTATATTTCCTTTTTCTCAGTATTGATTTACAATTCCACTTTTGAACAATTTTATCCAGTTTTCATTTTAGGTAGTGGAACACCAAGTGTGTAAAAAAACTCAATTATTGCCACTGAAAAATAAGCTTAAAACTACTTAAGATAGGTAACTCCTGGCTAGGAGCATCCCTTTTGGGGTTTAAACATTTGAGTAGATATTAATGTCATGTCTAAACTTTTAGTCTCTCTCGATACTGTAGTTTTAAACTACACTGTATTTCCGCCCGTCAAACGTAAACTTCTTTGTAAGGATCTCTGTTTGGTTCAGTTTCCTCGCAGGATGATTTAATTTTCTATAAGGGAGTTCACATGCAGTACACAATATACTACATGATGTTTTGTTGCATAACTTTCCTAGTAAATAAAGAAAAATGTGCAATGAATGTTGTAAATCCTTTCTCAGACTGTTTCCCCCCTAATTGTGCCAGATTGTGTCAAAACAGCTCTTTTTGCAGCATTTCAATTATTAGATTTGCAATCAATGTTGTTTCTTTAAATAATCGAAACATTTAGAAAACAAAATTCATATTCATTTCATTACTGTAATTTTTAGGGGTGGTTTGATATTTTTGCTTAAGAACTGTTCTAATTCAAATTAAATTAGAAGGTTTATTAGATGACAGATGAATGATTTTTTTCTTTCACCTTTTTTTGTATTGCATTTTACGCAGATAAAAATCTTTATTTAGCAATTATATCAAATTCATAATTCATAATGCTTTTCTAAAATATTTGTAAATGTAGACTTTTTATTTGCAGCTGTAATGCCCTTTTTCTTGATTCTTTCTATATATCCATAGTAGTAAATACTGTATTTAAATTTTGACATTATTTTAATGGATGAGTTTAGACTTATGAAATGCCTTTGACTGGAATGTTTTTCCTTGAACAAGAAATTTCAGATTTTTATGATAACCCCAGTAGAATGAAATCTAAGAGAATCTTTGGACCAGTGTATTTCTAAACAGTAGAACTTTTAAATCTTTACACTTTGCGTTTTGCTTCAATCCATAATTTTTCTAATTATCAACCATTTACATCGCTGGAATTGTCAAAATAACAAATTCATTTCACAACCGACCTAGTTAATCTATATAATAGGAATATCTTTAAAACATCTCTGTATATTTATATCTTTCAAGATGAAAAATGTCGTTTTTTGCGCAATCTATCTTTATCTATGCTGAATACAGTTTGAATCAAAATGTTTTGTAAAATAATTTTTCCTAACTAAAAACAAGATATGCCTATTTAAATATACATTATACAGATGTTAATACTCGGATTTGATAGTACTGAAATATTAATTTAGATTTTTGATTTGAATCATGAATCCAATATAAAACAAGATGTTTTCTATAAAAACTCAAGCACCGTCCATTTAAAGTGGTCTCTGTATTTGTTTTCAGTAAAGTTGCGAAAGGATGTCAAACAGTAAAATGTTTTTTTCATGCAACTTTCCCATAATAAATCTAAACAATTTGGAGTTGGTTAAATATTTCTAGTTATTTCAACATCGTAACCAGATAGATAGATAGATAGTTAACTTGAAACCTCTTGTATTAGATTGAACTTGGAGAAACTAAATGATAATTAGATAAACACCAGAAGATTAAAGGATCGAGCTAATGAACAGGATCATTGAAAATGATGTGACCAAAATACATGAAACAGGACACAGAATGATTTGCTAATTTTAATTTCATTTCGACCCGGTCTTGAAAATTGACACATTACTTTCATAACTGTCTGGATCTGTGTGGAGTGTGGGTTATAAAACCCGGAAAATAGAAACCAAGTGGCAGGAAGAAGAAATCAGAATTGTGGTTACATGAATTACAAGAATACGGAAATAGGAACTGGAGATGAGACTATAATTTGGTATAGAACCAATAAATGAAAACATGAGAGGAACCTTGATAAGAAAACGAAAATAAGGAATTACTGGTACGACTTTGTAACCTTGTAACTCCAGGAGATAAGAACCAGGATAGGGGAGAGGAACCAGGAGCTGGTAGGAAAGGGGTATGGTATGGGAGAGGAACCAAGAGATGGGAACCAGGAGATAAGAACCAGGGCAGGGGAAGAAACCGAGAGATGGGAGCCAGAAGATATGAACCATGTGAGGGGAGAGGAACGATGGGATGGGAGCCAGAAGATTTGAACCATGTGAGGGGAGAGAAACGATGGGATGGGAGCCAGAAGATTTGAACCATGTGGAGAGGAACGATGGGATGGGAGCCAGAAGATATGAACCATGTGAGGGGAGAGGAACGATGGGATGGAAACCAAGAGATATGAACCATGTGAGGGGAGAGGAACGGTGGGATGGAAACCAAGAGATATGAACCATGTGAGGGGAGAGGAACGATGGGATGGGAGCCAGAAGATATGAACCATGTGAGGGGAGAGGAACGATGGGATGGAAACCAAGAGATATGAACCATGTGAGGGGAGAGGAACGGTGGGATGGAAACCAAGAGATATGAACCATGTGAGGGGAGAGGAACGATGGGATGGAAACCAAAAGATAAGCTAGAACCAGGATAGGATAGAAGCACACTGAATAGGGGATAAAAGCTTTGGTAAAGAAACCTGGCATAGAAACCAAAAGAGTACAACAGGTGATAGAAACAAAAATTACACTTAGGATGAACCCGGAGTAAGAGAGAAATATGAAATGAGTAGCATGGACCAAAAGATTGTCAGGAAATGAACCTAGGCAATATTTTAAATCAAATTTAGAGGATTTGTAGTTTTTCTAACTTTGATTTAGTATCAAGGTGTTACTCCTGTAACTTGACCTAGATATCCGAGACAACACTAAGCTTACTCTGCGGTTTCAATAAAAGACACTTTCACACAATTGTCCAAGAGAAACATTATATAGTTTATATTCAGTTATACTTATAATATTAGTTAAGAACAATTTCCCTAATAATCCTAGGAAAAAGTTGGGCAAACCTCTACCCACCCCCTGGTTCCTCTCTCCCCCTCCCCTTCCCGCCACCCCTCTTCCAAGGTCAGAAAACGATAATTACTAAAAAAAGTGTTTAAAAACTATAAATGACACCGAAAAAGGCATTCCTGTTTTGTTTATTTTTACAGAAATAAATATTGTAGGAAAGTTCCTCCAACAATTATCTTTTTTTGCAAAACTCTTAAATTTTTTTTTAATTCCAAGAGTTAAAAGAGATTATCCAAACCTAGATAAAAAATAAAATATTTGGTTTTAGTTAGGTTGCCTGAGTAGAATTCAGGTTCAGGTCTCTCCTCGTTCTTCCACAAAGTCTCGGAGTAAACTAGAGCAAGGAGGGAAACAATAGAACTAATTCTGATACTAAACCTGATCCAGGTTATACCTCTCTCTCTTCATCCAACCCCTTGGTCAAATATTAAGGGTAATAATGGAACCTCAGAGATACTCCAGGATAGTTAGGCCAGGATAAGATGAATGAGGAATGAGGATGAAGAGGAGAAGATAAACAAGGTAGAACGACGTTGGATAAGGAAGGATGGGAGATAAAAGATAAGAAAAAAAGAGAATGATCAAAGAATGGAAAGGAGGATAAGAAAGGGACATAGGATACATATAACTATACTAATTTACTATCTACTATCTACTATCTACTATTTACTATCTACTATCTACTATCTACTATCTACTATCTACTATCTACTAACTACTATCTACTATCTCCCCCTAGAAAAAGGCCTTAGAGTATAGGTATAGAGTTGAAATGCATGTTCATAGCCCAATTATTCAAGGCCAGCTCATTGAAAATAGAATTAGACCGCTAACTTTAATAGTTTAGTATTAAAATCGTAAAATTTTGTTTTGATTCTACATCCATTTTTAAGGCTTTTCTAAAATGTAGTTTTTAGATCTGTTGCTTTGGTCACAAAAAAAGTTATAATGGACCAGACTTTATACCGCGCCTTGTACCCGCCCCCTATACATTAATAAAATGACTATTGTAAATCAAAATTACAGATAATTACAGATAATTACCGATAATTACCGATAATTACAGATAATTACAGATAATTACAGATAATTACAGATAATTACAGATAATTACACTTACAGATATGAGAAAATAGTTAGAAAATAGTTTTCTGTAATGAGTTAAGCTATACTCTCTACAACTAAATTATTAAACCAATGTTCATTGTCAAGTATGAAATCTTCCATGTTTTTCAATCACCCCTTTTATGCAGAGCTATTAAAATAAAGTTCTTAAAATCCTTAAATGCCTTCGTCAACCTAATGATGTCGCAAAACTCTACCAGTAATTTCACATAACATGTCGGACGCCATATTCATTTTAAGTTTTGTATGGTACACAAATACCATCATATGCTTCCACAATGCACTCATTTTAGACCTATTTAATGCTGAGGCTGATTTTTAAGTATTTCATTGAAAAATATAATGACAATAAAGAAAATCAAAACGGAAATAAAAGCTTCAGAGACAAAGTCCTAATATATTTAGCCAGCAAGAGTTTGACATAAGAATTTTTACACAAGAAGATGGATGTCCTTGAATGTCGTCTTCTATGATTCCGATTTTTTAACAATAATTTACCTGACAAATCCAAGAGATACTGTCACGTCGTCCACTGTCTAAAACGATCAAGAGTGTAACTAACAAAAACTTTCTGATGGATGTCTATTGAGGAGTACGTTCAATTGCATACAAACTTTGTTGCATTCCATTCTGTTGCAATTGAGCAACGATTGTAATCAAACGTTCAAAATAAAAATTTGAAGGGTATCGTTGTGACCAGACATGCCACGTTCTATAACTGGAGAGTCACTTGAAGTTACGAATACTGCAGTCCCTATCTCAGAAGAGTTGTACCAAGAAGTATGAAATAGAAGGGAGACGGTACTCGATTTGTATAAGAAATATTTATCTGATGTATACTGCAATTACCGCGTTACAATAACCTATTCTGAATATTTCTTATACAAATAGAGTACCGTCTGCAAAGCATGTATAATCATAAGGTAGAGCTGAAGAGAATAGAATATATATTAGAGTGGAATTTAGAAAATCCCTCGGTACAAATCATGTAAATGTTCACAAATTTTATGAAGTAGAGTACATTAATACAGTATGTTCCCTAGTCTATCCTTTTCAATTTAGATTTTTTTAAAGCTGATAAATAAACTTTATAAAATGAATTAGGTGAATAAAAACATCATTTGATTTATAGTTATAATGGAAAATCATCGTTTGTAAAGTGATAGGCATAGAGTCTATGTGAAGTGATCAATGGTCAATTATGAAACCAGCCTATTTCATAATTTGGGTTTCTTTTATTATTAATTTTAGATTTTCTATAAAATGATGTTCCAGGGCCCAAAAGGATATATGGCACAAATATGTGAAGTACACCTGCAGTATGGAAACAGTACAACAAAATGGCCGTTTTGCACTTTTTTCTAGAAAATTCCACTCTAATATATATTCTATTCTCTATGGGTAGAGCGGGCCGCGTCAGTTGTAACTCCCTTCTATTTCATACTCCTTGAGTTGGACTTTTTAAAAAACGAAAACCCTGATTCTGTCTCAATCCTAGCTGAGGAATAAGTTGCATAATTTTTAAGAAAATAATAATCAAAAAGAATTTACTTTATATAAGTGATTGTGAATCAACTTAGATTATTACTAATTAATTGATTTGACATTAATCTCTGTCGTTTGTGACTAGCTTTCATTGTTGTAATTGAATTTTAATTAGAATTAAGTTTTGATTGCATTTGAGATTTGATTGCAATTGAATATTAATGGCAATCGTCTGGATTGCGATTGTGATTGAGTATTGATTGAAAAATTAATATTGATTGCATGAAATTGTTACCGATCGCAGCAAAGTTTGATTGCAATCGAGTTTGATTGCAAATAAAAGTGCTCCGCCTTTTGGGCTTCTTTCTTTTTAAAGAAAGGGTTTGAAAATAAAAAAAATGGGGCGTTTACCATTTGTAAAAACATAACAGACCATGGATTATACATCAGAAACTATCAAATTATTATTATTTTAGAGATTTATTCACACACAAAGATATAAATACATATATAAATGGCGTAGTTTAAATTTGTTAAGGTTCACATATAAACTAAGTGTATTGCGGTTCAAAGAATCAAACTCCTTAAGGAACTATACTTTATTGGAAACAAAAATTCGCGAGTTCATGGTGTTATACACACTATCCTTGATACGAGAAAAAATCTTTTTCTAGTATAAATATAAAAGTGCAAGTAAAGATAAAGGGACGGGAAGATTTTAGTTTGTTTAAAAAAACCCTTTGGAACTTCTTTAATCTGAGGACAGCTGGGAGAAATCCGTAACGTAAATGCAGACTTCAGATATGTCGAAGATAAACAAGAATTGACAAAATTAAATGGAAATTGCTAATTCCTAGGAAGCATTTCTGCATTTAACTATTAAAATGACAAGGTGTTCAAATTTACTTCTGGAAAACTGCACTTCAAAAGGCATATAATTTCTTTTGTGTTTTCTCGACTTTTTTCATAAAAGAAAAGGCATTTTTCTTGTAAATTCTCCTTAATATAATAAAAAGTTATTACTAACTTACTCCTACAAAACCAACAAATGGGTAATTCAAATAACATTTAAAGTAAATAATTCATTGACACATATATTTGAGCTTTTTGTAAAAAAACATGTCAACAAACCTTCAGCGCAAATATATATGTACATATTGTATTTATTATTATACTTTTGTGCATTAAACATGGTGTTTGCAAACGAGCTAAGACAAATATATATTCAATAAGGATAAAGTTTTAATAACAAGATTATCATTAAACTATAGTAAACCCATTAAATTTCAAACCTGAATATTTCTGGTTGCAAAGTATGTTCTCTCGGTGAGGTTAGATTAGACCCAGAGTTTAATCCAGAACTTCCTTCAATTCATAACAAACCTTGTCAACTTTGAACTGTAGTTTCATCCAAGCGTATTAAAAAAGCCCATTTTTCTTTGAAAAATATTTAAACCAATTTTAAATAGAGAAGACATATTTTACTAGAGAAAATATCAAGTTTTGATCGTTTTGTTTAATTTACAATTCTAACGTCTATTTTAATAATAAAATTCATTTTTGAAAATGATCTAATATTTTCAAACATTCTATATATATATTTGCAGGGTTGCAAATATAGATGATTCCTACCAGTGCCAATGCTTATAATATATACTAACAAAATTTTCTTATTCTTTATCACTTAAATCGTCATTAGGTAATCGAGAAAACTATTTCAATTACTTTTATGATAATCTTAAAAGGGATTTAGATAAAAGAATCCAAAGTTTTAGAAAACATGATTCCTCCTCCCAGCAGGGATAACTTAAATTGAGGGATCGAGCACATTTCCCTCAATTTTTATGAGCTTTTTAAAAAGTTTGTCGACATCAATTTCTCTTCACAAACACATCAGATCGAAGGTAAAAAGTAATTTCAACATTGCTTATCCTGTACATATACTTTTCATCATGTCATTTTAGATTTCACGAACACACTCCCCTTAATCTAAACTTGAATTTAGATATTTCTTGTTTGTTAATATTTGTTTTGAATTCCTGCAACTCCTGAGCTTTCACTCCCATCCCTAATAATATTGCTATGCTCAACATCAACATCAACATCAACATCAACATCAACATCAACATCAACATCAACATCAACATCAACATCAACATCAACATCAACAACAACATCAACATCAACATCAACATCAACATCAACATCAACATCAACATCAACATCAACATCAACATCAACATCAACATCAACATCAACACCATTAACATTAACATAGACATTACAATTATCCAAAGACTTTGCTAATTAAAGGCAGAGCATCAGAAAATCTACGCAAATTTGACGCATTTTGTGGGTGAGCCAACGATAGTAACAAATGTCATGTTTTCTCTAATAATCCAGTACTTTTTACGTTGTTGACCTTTCAAAATGTTGTCTTTTGTATTAGAAGAGTTATCTAAAAACAAAACAAGAAAACCACTTCAGTTTTTCTATCTTGAAATTTTTATTTTGTCCATAGTCCATAAAAATGATTAGTGATAAAAGTGATTAGTGGATTTTTGCAACAAAGACAATGAACTTAATTTACAGAATTCATCACTTTTTCAAATTAAATAACGACAATATTTTCCTCATTGTTACCCAGATAAATGTTTAAATGCTACTGTTGTTGATATGACCTTTAATGGGTTGGTAACTTGAAATTACATCTATCAGTTCCATAGAACATTTACTTTTGGTTTGAAGTATATATAGTGTATATAAGAAAAAAATAATGTCTCATATCTTTTATGCAAGTAACCTTGTACTTTTTAACAGTAATCAATTCTCTCTCTACCTGATTTAATGAATTATTGAAAAATATAACGTTATAATATTTATTTAACAATGTAATAGTTTTTACACACTCTGGAATCTTTCAGCGTAAGGAATTCGTATGATCCAATTAAAGAGCCGTCATCCAAACTTTTTTCTTTTTGGATCTGCTGTATATTAAATGCAGACTCTCCTATTCTTGGTTGGCTTGGCAGATGGGTATCATACACGTTACTTTGCTTGGCAGTGGTAGCGACGAACCCGGATTTTAATAGAATTATTCATTGAATTTTCACCAATGTATTTCTTTAGTCCGCCTTTTTAAAATCCTCAAATAAATCATGCCTCAAACCTTTTGTCCTCAACTTTAAAAGACTTCAAAGTAAAAGATTGTCCTTTAATTCCCATTTTTAATAAAACTTTCTAATATATTTTTTTCTTTAATGGTTGATATTTGTGAAACAAAATCCCCACAAATCAATTTAAGCGTAAGATTAATACATTAATTTATGTGATATTATTTCTTTGCCTAAGATTAAACAGAAGACGACATTTACACAAAATTTATTTACCGTTTATAATATTGGAAATTTCTAATCCCTTCTCTTCATCATCGCTTAAAATCCCATTCCATAGAACCTATTTGACATCTGAAAATTTTTAATAACAATTACTGGCTATTTTTGATATGTATTGTGTAACTTTATCACAAATTCAGTTTATTTCACCAGACGATCCTCATATCAAACAACTGATTATAAATTTTGAAATACAAATTAATATCATTAATTTTAGCCAACTTATAGCACAAAACATTCACAATTGTGTTTAATATCTAGGGTTTTAATGTCTATCATTAGACTCTTAAACAACCAAAATGACCAATGACGTCAAAATACAGCTGTGCACTGTACAGTACTTCGGATAAATTTCCAACACCTCGTCTTTATAATTAGCAAAGTCTTAGCAATTATCTAATTGTACGTCAACAATTTAAAAATCATCTACAATCTACATATATGCAATGAACAATGAAACATCAAAATTATAATGAGCATATCATTGCCTGAAATCGAATCCATTAACTTCATCAACAGGCCTAGAAAAGATAACAATTCAAATAATATTTGTTTCATTCATGTTTTCTTTTCCTTTTCCCTGAGCTTGCATGAACCATCCATAAAATTGCAAATAGAATTAATAAATATCCCCATCAATCTGAATCAGGCAATTTCAGTACATTTTAATTTTTACAATTTACTTCCGGTATTAGCTACTTTTAGTTACAATTATATAGTAAACCAACTGTGAGTTTGGGGTTATAAGTTGTATTGGCCTTGCAGTCCGTGATTAAAATCTGAGGCAGGGTTGTATATTTTCCGTACACCCCTCCCCCACCCACAAAAATAAAAAATACCTCTATTAAAGGGTTGCGGGGAGTGGGGGGGGATGAAGAAAAAAGGACAACGGAAAAGAGGGAAGAACAAAAAGAAAAAAGAAAGAAGTTTTTTATCTGCTATAGCTGGGGCTCACAAAGAAAACAATGCAAAACCTTTTTGGAGAAAAAATATTATATTATATTATTATATTACATTAAGTTTTCTAGGGCATAAATATGTATATATGAACATTATGCTAAAATTATAGAATTAAGTACCTAAAGCATGATAGTATACATTTTTTCAAATACAGGGTGTATCTCAAAAAATGATTTTAGAAAACGATTCTCTGCATTTAAAAGTTTAAAGCAAAAAAATCGAAATGTTCTGGAATTATCAATAATAAAATTTTAAATCACAAGGAAGAAAGGAACTAAACACTCGCCACAAATTCTAATTTTCTAACCCATTTATCTTAGCAACCTGATGTCGCATAACTTTGATATATAACGTAAATTCTGACAGATCAAAGAGTTTTAACTTTGACTTATCAAAAGTGTATACCATCAGGTTGTAATGATATCATAGGGATTAGTGTATGGTACAAGTGAGTTAGTAAGGTTAAAAAAGGCGTTGCAACACTTCAAAGTCTAACCGATCTTGAAAGTTGGTGTACAATTTGCATAGCTGACTGGATCTCATTCCTGGTGACTGATTACAGATTACAGATTACAAAAGATTTTCAAACCTTGTTTTATTTGGGATAGTTTTATTGTAGAAAAAGTCACAACTATACATATTTTGAGAATCTTTAAAGAAATAGTTTGCGTAGGTCGAAGATAAAGAAAATCAAATTTTAAAGTTTACTTTGTGACGAGAAAATGCGTCAAAATCTGATTGCGTAGAAGTACACGAGGTATGAGAAAATGCTTCAAAATCTGATTGCGTAGGAGTACACGAGGTATGAGAAAATGCGTCAAAATCTGATTGCGTAGGAGTACACGAGGTATGAGAAAATGCGTCAAAATCTGATTGCGTAGGAGTACAAGAGGATGAGAAAATGCTTCAAAATCTGATTGCGTATAGGAGTGCACGAGGTATGAGAAAATGCGTCAAAATCTGATTGCGTAGGAGTACACGAGGTATGAGAAAATGCGTCAAAATCTGATTGCGTAGGAGTACACGAGGTATGAGAAAATGCTTCAAAATCTGATTGCGTAGGAGTACACGAGGTATGAGAAAATGCTTCAAAATCTGATTGCGTAGGAGTACACNATGAAAATCTTTTTAGATAATGAACGAATACGAGCTTTCCCCACATCACATCCTGGATCGACTAACAATGGGCGAGATGCGTTGGTTTCTTCTCATTCGCGTTTTGGGTTATACTTCCATCAGCTTTGAACTTACGGAGTTGTATTTTTATACTTTTATCGCATTTAAAACGCACCTGCAGATAAAAAGTGAGAAAAAAATAAAAAAATTAAAGCTATATAGGTCAAATCTTAATGGAAAGACAGAGCTCGCTCGGACAAGACCCAAAATGTTAAATCAGCGTGAACATAAAAGCATCTTGGTTTCATGTAAATACTCTGTTCCTGTATCCGCTCTGGTATTAGATAACCCAGAGTTAGATGTTCTTGTATCCGTCCTATTTAAGCCAATCTCATTCATTATATCCTGTTACAAGAGTAAGACTACATTTTCAGGAAATCAATGAATAGATAAACATTTCAAAATAATACTCTGTATAGCTAGTGAGTATAGTATGTAGATAGTGTCACATTTTGGGCGTTTTCAATCTTCCTATCTTGTATATTCTTTATTCTTGAAGAAGTTCATCCAGAAATATAAAGGAAAATATTTCATCTATTTAAATATCATCCACCTTCCCAAGTCTTTAACGCTATACTGAACAATCATCAAATCTTTTTATCCTAATATTAAAATCGAATTAACGTCCGGCTCCCATTTACCATGTGTCTTGAAGGGTTTAAGTAAAACTTTTTATGTTCCAGCTCTAGCTCAGAGCTGTTTGTAGATATTATGTACAAACCTTGGTTGATAAAGACGAGGTTCAATACCATCCTCTTCATATATACTGATCTACAAACCTTGGTGGATCAAGACGAGGATCAATATCATCCTCTTCATATATACTGATCTACAAACCTTGGTTGATAAAGACGAGGATCAATATCATCCTCTTCATATATACTGATCTACAAACCTTGGTTGATCAAGACGAGGATCAATATCATCTTCTTCATATAAACTGATCTACAAACCTTGGTTGATTAAGACGAGGTTCAATATCATCCTCTTCATATAAACTGATCTCACTCTCTTCGTATCTTTCTAAACAGAAAATAAACTTGATAATTAGTGCACTGTAAACTTTAGATCGTTATAAATACAGGGCCGACTTTAAATCAGACAAGGAAAGCTGTACAGTACAATTACAGACCATGTTAGGCAAACTGGGATGGTATGCCAAATGAATGATCCCCTTCTAATTCTAGTTAACTCTATGTTAGAGGTGTAAGTACCCATGTTAAGAGTGTTGGGGGGGGGGAGGTGCACATTGTACAGAGGGTGTTGCGGTATTATATTCTTTTTGCAATGTACACAGTACATACATTGCCTTCATACAGTATATGCCTTCAGTCGAACTGTCCAGTCTGGAATACAAAATGTAAAATCGACCCAGCACGTTTTGAGAAATATTGTAGCCTGGCAAGATCATAGTGTTACATATTACAGGATTTTGGACACAAACTATTTGAGGGAACACAAACAGAACACATATATGAATAAACACTTTAAATAAAATGATCTGAATGTTGAACCTAATTTTATGTCTTTACATAAGTTTATTAATGATATGTAATGAATGATTTGTTAAAGAAAAAACAAGTTTACAGCTGCAGGGAACCATAAATGAAAAATCAAGAATGAGCAAATTTCTTACAGTCGCGTCGTCTATGGTCTCATCCTTTATTAGTGGCCTTTGCATTTTCAACAGCTTTATCACTAACTTAAATCTTCTAATCCCTATATCTTGGAAATCTGATGCTGTATACCTTTGATATTTTAAATTTTATCTAGTTGAAATTATAGTTTGAAATAATTAAGGGTTAAAACATTGGGTTGCAAAGATATAAGGATAAGAAATTAAGAGTTTGTGGCAAAGGCTCAATTCCTTTCTAACACAAAAATTGGTTGATTGATGTGATCAAACCTCGTGTTAGATCCAGAGATACAGATTTCTTGCTGCTCAAGTCAGAATAAAGTTTCGAATCTAAATCCTGCTCAATTCTCATCCCAGCAGATAATCCTGGTTCGTAGAGTATATAAACACAGGGAATAGAACTAAGGTTAAATCTGGTGATTCAAACAGTTTATAATTATATAAATACACAAAGCAATTGAACACTTGATACAAATTTATAATTTACTAATTCCATAATCAACCTCACCATAATATAAGCTTTCGGTGTGTACTGCAGTAATCTGACAGAAGAAATTGGGAGTGAAAAGTGACCTGATGGTGTAAAACTTTGATATTTCATACTTAGACTTTTGATCTCACCCTAACAGTTAGCTGTCGGTGCGTAATGCAGTGATTTACTCTGACAAAATAATTTGTGGGTTTTAGTAGAGAGTAAGTGATCAAGTAGAATATATAGTTTGAAAATTCATCGGTTTAAGACATCAGGTTGAAAGGTTATGGGAATTAGAAATTGTGGTGAGAATAAGATTAATAAGATGAAAATCTTTTTAGATAATGAACGAATACGAGCTATCCCCACATCACATCCTGGATCGACTAACAATGGGCGAGATGCGTTGGTTTCTTCTCATTCGCGTTTTGGGTTATACTTCCATCAGCTTTGAACTTACGGAGTTGTATTTTTATACTTTTATCGCATTTAAAACGCACCTGCAGATAAAAAGTGAGAAAAAAATAAAAAAAGTAAAGCTATATAGGTCAAATCTTAATGGAAAGACAGAGCTCGCTCGGACAAGACCCAAAATGTTAAATCAGCGTGAACATAAAAGCATCTTGGTTTCATGTAAATACTCTGTTCCTGTATCCGCTCTGGTATTAGATAACCCAGAGTTAGATGTTCTTGTATCCGTCCTATTTAAGCCAATCTCATTCATTATATCCTGTTACAAGAGTAAGACTACATTTTCAGGAATCTAAAAAATAAAAAGACAACTTTTTGTATCTAAAAATTTACTTAATTTTCCCTGAAAATCATTTAGAGGAATTGTATCTTTGCCACAAACTCTAATTGTCTAATCCCTATATCTTTACAATCCCATGTTGTACACCGGCCCTTAGATATTTCAAACTTTGAATTCTATTAGATCAAATAATCTAAGTTCAAAATATCGAAGATTTACACCATCAGCTGTTGCAAAGATATTGGAATTAAAAATATTTAGTTTGTGAAAAAAAAACTCGTTTCCCGGTTCAGCGATAACCCTCTAAATTCTAAACCAAGACGTTTAATCCCTAACTTGTAAAACCCTGTTGTAAAAGGAAAATAAAAATGAGTTGAGTTCAATCTAAACTAAAACAAAAGTTGACACTTTGGCAATCACTAATATTAGATAAACAAGCAAATATATAAATTAAACAAACAGTTTAAATCTACAAAAAAAAAAACTGTTTCATAGCTATGAATTAGTAAAAGCTTTAAAAATGTAAATTTGTTGTAACCTTTTTGTGAAACTCAGTTTCCGATTATCGATATGAAACCCAGTTTGTTTTACTGCAGAGTATCGAAATGAAACCTGGTTTCCGATACAGATTATACGCGTGACATGAAACCCAGTTTCTTATACAGATTAACGACATGAAACTCTGTATCGCGTGGAACCCGAGTTTCATTGATGGGGGGTAACTGACAATTTTGAAGAAATCAATGCTTTCTTTTGAGAAATTGTATTTACATGGTGCTTTTCAACATTATGTATTTCTTACAGTTGTCGTCGTATTTATCAATACATTGAAGACCATTTTAAATTTCAATTTTGATTTCTACCAAGCTAAACAGGGAAACCAAGAGTAATAGAAGCTTTACACGTAAACTTATAATTTTAAAAAAAGAATGTTAGAAATAAAAACTTAAATAGAAAAATCGTCTTCATTGTATTGATATAAACATATTAAAATGTACACAAATGAGTGAAATTACGTTGTTTTGAGTACACTATTTTGTATAGGGCAATTATCAATACATCATGTAATTGTACGTGTATATAGGGGTTAATAACCATAACCATTTGAAGAGTTTTAGAAATTGTTGTACTTTCAAATTTTCTGGAATTATGTAAAACTTGTTTGAAATGAATAATAATGTTAAATCCATATAATCAGCTGGTAGCATTGCAACTGGGGTTTCATTGGTAAATTTTACATAAAATGTCATTAAAAAATATGATATTATGGTACAGAAAAATAAATTTTTATTGTTTATTTAGAAGGTGGCGGGGAAGGAATTTTTCAAAATGATCTAGAGCGTATGAAAGAAATGATCGAGTTTGTTGAAGTGTAAAAAATGCAAACAGGCAAGGTCATGGAACCTACAGGGTGTTCTTTTTGCTTTAAATTATTTAAAAATTCCATTTCTGGATTTGGAACCGGATCTGTATAAAAATGAAATGAATCCTTATCGATGCTTAAAAAGGCATATACAAGGTGTTCTGTATACTTTAAAAGTTATGTAGATAGGGTTGTTAATAAGCGACCATTTTTTTAAACGATTGTTTTTTTTAAAAACGATCGTTTTGGAAAAAAATTGTCATTTATAAATATTTAAAAGATCGTTAACGAAATCTTGTTGTTAACGATCTTTATCGAAGCGACTAACTTTATAAAACGGTCGTTTTAAAAAAAACTATCGTTTTAAAAGAAATGTTATTGATAAATATGCAACTTTATTGAATGGATCGTCTTACATACAGGTATAAGGTTGTAGGGGAGCTAAAACTTCTAGATATTTAATTTAGAACTACTAAATGATGAGTACCGATGCCCTTCAGGTCGGTTTTCTCTTCGTTTATGATCGTTAACGAAGTGTCGACATAAATGATCGTTAACGAATGGTCGTCGTTAACGATCGTTAAAATAATTATAAATGACGTTTTTTTCAAAAACGATCGTTTTTAAAAAAACAATCGTATAAAAAACGATCGTTTTAAAAACGATCTTTTGAAAAACGCCCGTTTTTCAAAACAAACTTTTCAAAAACGATCGTTCGTTACGGATTTATTATTGATCCTGGTTTGGAAGTCGTAACAAGAATGCCAGGATATAGTAATACAATCATTATGTAGATATTTTATTAATATTCCGCTAAAATTAGAGTCAGATACCGGAGTCGGAAGAGAACTGCCTGAACCTGGAGCGGAGTAAAGTAATAAGTATACCCGGAGTACAATGGGTCTCGTAATATTACAATTCTCCGTTTCTGGGAAAAAATGTTAGACCTCGGGTGAGCTGGATCCGTCCTACAATACCAAACTATAATCAACACAACCCCCCCCCCTCTCCCTCACACACACAAGCGCTGGTTTAAAACAGGGCATCTTCATTTAATTTAATTCCATCTTTCAAACACTGGAAACCAGACAGAAGGAGAAGGTAAACTATCTGCTGCATCACTGGAACAACTTTGTGACCTCAATAGCTCTTCTAAACGAGGAGTTCTGATTGAAAACATTTAAGATTTCAATCTTACTCGTAATTTACTTCAGTTTGGCGTGCAAATCTTGATTTTTCATCGAAAACTGATCTGTTAAATGACAGACCCGAAAACTGATCTGTTAAATAACAGACCCGAAAACTTGATGCAATTTTTTAACCTAAATATTTACACAAAGTGTGATGTAAAAATATTTCCAGAAAAAGTCATCTTAGCTTAATTTCTTTCGGAAAAATTTGTTCTGTGACCACTGACAGGCCGAGTATTTTAACTCTTTTCATATCTTTTTCACATTTTTAGAAGATTTGGACTTTGACGGCAAATTTTTCCAAAATACCAACGCTTTTTGTCCAGAAACTAATATACAGGGTTACTCACAAAGGATGAGACTTCAGAGACGACTGTACGGAGATTCTTTCGTCTGTTTTCTCAGTCCTGATTTCCAGCAGCTTAAAAATTCGTTCTTTCTGTGTACAAGCATTAAATGAACCATTGAAAGACCGTATTAAAGGCAGAAGACTGAACTCGTCATACTTTAAGAGTTTAAAGTCGTCTTTACAGTCTCATCATTTGGGTAACCCTGTGTGTATCCATTAAAAAGCTGTAATTTTCTTCACTTTAGTGAAAACTTTTTAATAATTCCTCAGAAAGTGAAGGGCACACTATTCTAAAGAAAATGTACCTATGCGTTATTATTTGTTAAGAAAGTTGAAATCTTTGATTGTTTGTCTTCCGTGTGTACATAATTCTAAAAATAAATAGTTTTTAATCTTCTTAACAGGGAATTGAGTTAAAACGATAGTTGCAAACGGATCCATAATGGTTACCCGAGCTAATTGTTCTACTCAATCCTCAAATTATTCAAGTATCAAGGACGGATTTATTATTATTTTTCCATTCATTTCTCCCTGCTGAATAGAGAACCCGGAGCGAGGAAGAAAAATTATTCTTCGGGTCAAAAACAATTTGTCATTTTGAGTCTGGGTGGTTTGGAAAATGTGTAAACAAATAGTTATAAATAAAGAAACGTTTTTTTGTATTATTTTCTATCTGAAGTTTCATGCATGTTCAGAAATATTTTGTGTTTACTTGCAATGGTAGGTAATAAAGTTAAAATAATATTGTCTCTACGTAACTTTTTTATTTTTAAACTACAAAAACGAGAATTAACCTCAATGTTTTTTTTAAAATATCAATAAAAAACACTGGACAATAAAATCACAGTATTAAAATCTTCGGCGTTTACAATGTTCATAAATTTACTTGCGGATTTATGCAACAGAGACAGGGGAAGGAAGTTGGGAGAGGTTCTAATTTCTAATTAAAATCTAAATGTAGAAAATAACGAAGTTTTTTTGACTTGAAACTGTTTAACTATGATAATTTCTTCATTTTTCTGAAGCAAGAAATACGCCTGTCACATTTGCAGGAGATACAAAAAACTGAAATTATCAGTTTTCAAAAACAAAAACATGGATATCTAATTCATAGTTGATCCAGGATAGAGGGTATCGTCTTGAATCTGAAATGAACAGGTTTAAGTTAAAATTACATAGACAGTCAATGGCAGTTAGTGCATGGCCACCATAAAAATGTGTACAGGTCTCCTTAATGAATTTATAAGTTTATTCTATGTTTAATTATCAAGGGTTCTCCCTTCATTGAGTTCCACCCAGGGGGGTTAGCTTTGTATTTACTCATGTTACTCACGCAATATTTCTTTATAAACTAGTTGTATACAATACATTAAGTATAATATTGCATATCACAATATATATACATTTCTTTATAAACTAGTTGTATACAATACATTAACTATAGTATTGCATATTACAATATATTTATATACATTTCTTTATAAACTAGTTGTATACAATAAATTTATTATATAGTTGCATATTACAATATATATACATTTCTGTATAAACCAGTTGTATACAATACATTAACTATATTGTTCCATATAACAACATACATACATTCTTTATAAAATAGTTGTATACAATACATTAACTATATTGTTCCATATTACAATATACATACATTTCTTTATAAACTAGTTGTATAAAATACATTCACTATGATATTGCATATTACAATATATATATTTCTTTATAAACTATTTGTATACAATACATTAACTATAATGTTGCATATTACAATATATATACATTTCTTTATAAACTAGTTGTATACAATACATTAACTATAATATTGCATATTACAATATATATACATTTCTTTATA